AAGAGTTATGATACACTCTATAGACGAACAATTTATGTTGAATATTTAATATATCTATATACATATATTCCACCGATGGTCGATTCTTTTCATGTATTTCATAATAGTTTCGTTGTTGCGTGCCTACAAGCAGTAAATAAGTACTCGTATTACAAACATACATTTGAATTTGTTTCGATTTGAATATCAGTATCAGTCGCACTTAATAACCATTAATTGATTATCATAAATAAATATAAAAATATGCACGAGCTCATACACATGTACATACATACATGCTTACATATATTTTAGTGCAAAAAAGTAAATCGCACCATTCATACTTTTTACTTCATCCTTATATACTTACTCATCCTTAATCCTCAATAAATTCACTACCATATTTAGGCAATCGCTACTCTTGGTGGCCTGCAACTGAATCACTGTGTTAACGACCATACTACGCATGTGGTGAGTTACGAACCGCGTCGAACGCTGAATCTACTGCGCGGTCTAATACGTGGCCTCTGGATTCTCGATTACAAATGGGTAGTAGACTCACTTATAGCCGGTTGTTGGCTAAATGAGGAAGAATATGAGTTGAGAGTGTTTTCGCGCGCCGTCGAGGTAAATCAAAATTAAGAAGCGAAATGTTTTTAAATGTTTCTTTTTTTAAGTAATTTTAATAAATTTTCATTACATTCATCTACATACATAAAACAGATTTGTCGCACCGAGCGTCAGGCTTTTGGCAATACCTACAAATGTGAACTCTTTACGGATTTAGGTGCCTTTTACATATCGTCGCGTTGTGGTCCCATCTCAAAGGAAAATCTAAAAGAGCTTATTGAATTATGTGGCGGCAAAGTGGTCGATCATCGCAAACGTGCTAAATATATACTCGGCGATCCACACAAATCACTCGAAGATAAAGTCTACGTAACTCCATTTTGGGTATTGGATAGCATTACGCAGATGCAAGTGATGCGTCAACAAAAATATAGCTATGCGTCGAATCAAAATCAAATCATGAAGACGCAACCGCAATTGTTGTCACAGGCAAACGACGACGCAGTGGTTTCAACTTAATTATAGATACATAGTAGCGCAATGTGAAATTAAAATTAAAGCATCACAAAGATTTTGTTGGCATTTTCACAAAAAATTTGTTAAAATATGGAAATTTTTTATGGAGAAATCCACTTAGTAAAATTTAAGAATTATTTAGAACTCATGAACGTTTTCTTTCCATTGCAATTGTAGTAAATAACATTAAAAAAATAATAATAAATTATATAATAGTAAGCTATATCTATTGTTTTTATATTAAAACTTGAGTCAACTTGAACACTTTTAGATCTCTACCATTAAGACCTATAGAATCCAAAAGATCCTTCATGAGTTGTGTATTTAAAGCAAAAAATATAATTCTCTCAGATAGCTATGAGAGAATTATCGATCTAGCTATTGTTAGTGTACGCTACTTACTACTGGTAATATAAAATCAGA